TGCTAATATGGCTACAGGTCATCAGCATGATATGATTATAATTCACTTGAGTCTCAATCACCCCAATTTGTTAAAAAGTCCACTATTTTTAACACAATGTCAATTTGAAAACTTATATCGATCTTTTAAAGCTTTTCAGCATTTTCACAAGGAAAAGACGAAAGCCTTTACCTGATTTTGATTTATTCTTCTTTTCAGGGATTGCTGAAAATTTTGAGAGAAAAGTGACAATATTAAAAATGTTGAAATATTATATAGATATAAATAAAGCATATATACACATATAAATAAAACACTGTGTAGTTAAAACAAATCCTTCAAAAATGATATAATACAACAGCTAGCCCTGATATGGTCACTGGAAGCCAGTTAAGACACTTATCCTGCACAGTTGTAGGATTAGAGTCAGTAAACTGCATCATGTCTGCTGAAGAACCATTTGGTCCCCAAACAAAATATTAAAGATCCCTTTTTGGGGTACAATAAACTTTGTATGTTTTTGCTATACTGCATTGTTGTGTTTTTGATGTGTTCAGAAATATATAAACTATACATAAAAACTGTTATAGTTAACAAATTGAACTTTTTTGAGTGGAATGGAAAGAAATGCAATATATGGACACATCATGGGCATCTTACCTGACAAAAAAATTAAAAAAACTCACATGAAGCCCTCATGTCTTGCAAATGTCAGATAGAAATATACAAATCTATGTTGAAAAGTGGCCTTAACATGCTTACACACATTTCATCATAACAGTCAGCTTATTTATCGTGCCTAGTGCACCTATTGGCCATCTTATCTGACCAAAAAAAAAAAAAAACTCACATGAAGCCCTCATGTCTTGCAAATGTCAGATAGAAATATACAAATCTATGTTGAAAAGTGGCCTTAACATGCTTACACACATTTCATCATAACAGTCAGCTTATTTATCGTGCCTAGTGCACCTATTGGCCATCTTATCTGACCAAAAAAAAAAAAAACTCACATGAAGGCCTCATGTCTTGCAAATGTCATTTGAGTCATTAAATGATTAAACACCATTCACAGAAGCACATAAACATGCAGTTAAATCTTGTTCATGTTCAAATCATGTTCTTGGTACATACCAACAGTCCTAGCCCCCAGATCACTGTCATCTGTCCGTTTATCATCATACAAAAGGCAGCGTCCTTTGAAAGAGAGAGAAAAATTATAAGAATTAGTTAACTACTATCAACCAGTAAATCACAGTCAATGTGCCACATGAACTAACACTATGTGGGTTAAGAGTTGCAGAAGCATTTACACATATGAGGTGCATCAAAAAAGTTCCAGGACGGGGTCACAAAAATTTATTACAAAAAGATTTATACAAGCTGCAAGTTTTAAGCTTAACAAGAGCATCTGAAAAAGCATACAATGGCTGCAGGAAGCTGAGATTGCAGTTATACACACCCCAGATATTACGTCACACTGTGACGCAACCCGCTAATCCCTCCTCCACTCATAGCTCACACAGCACATCAGTCCTGGAACTTTTTTGACGCACCTCGTACAGTTAACAAATTGAGCATTTTTGAGTGGAATGGAAAGAAATGCAATATATCAAAATTATGTGCAACATTTTCTTTCATTAACAGGGAAAAATAAAGTTCCACAAATGGAACATTTCCCAGAAGCACCGGAATGCAACTTGAATGTGTCAAAAGTTTCAAATCTAGTTACACAGTTGGTTTAAATCATATTTATTGGGTAGATCAGTGTCTGTCGGGTTGGCAGATGTTGAATCTGTGACAACCCCTTTGTTATCTGGGGTCCCACAAGGCTCAATTTTGGGGCCTCTGCTTTTTTCACTGTATTTACTTCCCCTTGGTGCTGGCATCTCTTCACTGCCTTCCTGTGCGTTTTAGGGTTCGTTTTAAGATTCTTTTATTTGTTTACAAGTCCTTGAATGGGCTTGCACCATCTTGGAACTTTTACGTCCGTATAATCCGTATCTGTATAATATAAACTGCATCATGTCTGCTGAAGAACCACTTGGTCCCCAAACAAAATATTAAAGCTCCCTTTTTGGGGTACAATAAACTTTGTATGTTTTTGCTATACTGCATTGTTGTGTTATACTATAAACTATACATAAAAACTGTTTGACTCTTAGTACATACCTCTAAACGTAGGACCATAACCACCTGCAAAAAAAATAAAAACATAACATTAAGCCCTCATGTTGTGCAAATGTCATTCAAATCATCAAGTGATTAGACAACATTTACAGAAGCACATACACATGCAGTTAAGTCGAGCTGATATTGGTCAAATGGAAAACCTTGTGGGGCGACAGTGGCGTGGTGGGTAGAACAGCTGTCTTCTAACCGGAAGGCTGAAGGTTCAAATCTCGGCTCACATCTTGAGGTGTCCCTGGGCAAGACACTGATACCCCCAAGTTGCCTGTGATGGCGGCACGTATGCAGCAGCTCGGGGCCCTCATCTCCAAACAAAATTTCGTTGTTGTCACGCTCCTGCCCCGCTTGTTTCCTGTCATGCTTTTATTTTCACATTACTTCCTGTTTTGTTTCACCTCAGTTTTGGCCTTTTTACTTAATCATCATTAGTTCACCTGCTCCTTATTGTTTGCACTTGTTTTTACTTCTATTTAGGCAGTGTCCTCCCACCAGGACGCTGCCAGATTGTTCTAGACCCCAGCTCTGACTCTCCAGCATTTATACCTTGCCTGACTCTCTGTTTCTGACCTTGGATTACTACTGTATTTTGGACCACCGTGTTTTTGCCTATGCCCTCCCAGATTCTGATCGCCTGCGGTG